TATTTCGTAATTTTTTCCAATCATAAAGCCATTTCATAATAATTTAACTATATAAATAAATTGGATATCTGATTTGGTATTAATTCTATGCATTGAAAAAAGTTGGCATAATTTCATTTACAATCAAGAATTTATTCAAAATTAAATATTTTCGAACTAACAATATATCTTTAAAACCCTTCATTCTTATTTTGTTTAATAATGTCACCGACATTAGGACCACTACAAAATAACGAGTACGCCATTGAACTATTGAATACTTTTGTTTTCGTGCAATATTTTGATAAAATGTCAAGGATATCTCTAAACAGGGAAAATTGGTATGACAGTCAACGTGTTAAAATCTAAATTAACAAGTAACAAAAGTGAGTCCTGCTAGTATGCGAATAACAAGTAATTTGTCAATTATAAGTCAATAAACAGTGATCCAAAATACATTGTAAGGACATTGAAGTGTGGTAATGGAGAGATGATGATGTGGGCATTGTCCCACAAATAGACAAAAATATTTGCAGGAAATTTCACAAAGCAATATCGCAGAAGAAAATATTTCTGTTTTTTTATGGTCATCGTAATCACAGGACCTAAATCCTATCGAGAACTTATGGAGAATTATTAAACGAAATGTGCAAAAGCATTAAAAATGAAAATTTGAACGATATTTACACTGGAATTGAAACACAATGAAACATTTTAATAGAACATTGTGCAAAATGAAAGGATACAAAGATGCGTTGGAATTATTCCGTAAAATATTAACTTTTTAAAAACTTTTTGTTGCTTGTGCTAATGAAAATAAGCTTTTCAAATACACTGCACATCTAACAAGTATTATGTGGACCATCTAACAGCTGTTGTCGCGACTGATTAATAACATGTCCGATCTAGATTTGTGCCAAATTTCATTAGTGTAATCGCGGGCGTTTGAAGGTAGTTCTTTGTCGAACATAATCTTCGAATATTGATCATAAAATTTGAATTTAAAACGAGGGAAACTTTAACGGAAACGATTGAAATGTAAGAAAGTAAAACAGTAATACGATCAAACATTTCTCACTTATATGTATAGATAATCTCAAAGTGAACGAGAAGATGTTGACGAAAACGTAATTGAAAAAGTTTGTCTACTTTTACAGTAAAATCGTTATTCCTCTTTTAGAGAGAAGAAACGCAAAGAACACGATTCTCGATATTATGTAAAAGTTATGAAAATCAAATAATTAATTCTCATTGCACAAAATGCTTCCCCTTGTAACGCGACTAACATTAAAGAATTTCATTCATTGGATTTTGCACTTATTTTCAAGTTAAAATTACGCTTGAAGGAGCGACATTTTGACTGCATTAAGGATATCTACAGCAATATAACACGTGAGCTGAATAGTACTCGGAAAATTAACTTTTAGGAAGAAATTCAATTGTTATATGACTTTGTCACTCGGTAAATAAATTTAAAAAAATATACCGTAGGCTAAAAAAAAAAATTTATTTTCTTGACAGTTATATTTTTAGGAATCTAGTCTCAAAACTTCGTGGACGCACCGTGTCTTGAATTAAGAAAATAGAATATCGAAGGTTTTATTACTTTTATTAAACGACGAATTGTTGGCTATTTAGTATCTACAATATAATATAATAATTTATTAGAAATGCAGTCGTCTCAAAGTTTTATCCGCCACTGTAAATGACACCTTCTCGACTCCTAGTACTATCGCAAGCAAGGGCGTTTTCTCTCGGGTCTTTTCATTCTGTTCCGAATCTATTTTCCTTTTGGCAACTCCTCCAGCGACTAGACGCGGTCTCACAGGTAATTTAATCAAGTAGTCCAGACGAAACGCTAACGTCCGACGAATTGGGGTGCCGGGTCGAGACGAAATTAGAATTCCACCGCGGAACGAGCGCAATTTCGAAATTACAGTACATCGGTCTCGGCACATCATCCGATCGAGGACTGCATTTACATTGTTCTGCTCATTGAGCGAATTAATGCACCGTTCGTAAGCCAACGCAAGGACGCGAGGCGGAGGCGTCCTTGATATTCCTCGAATCATTTCCCTCGGTTAACGAGGAAGGGAAATAAAAAGAAAACGCGTTCGACGGTTACTCGAATGTTTCCATTTCTGAACAACGTCCCGAACTCGAGGTTCCAACCGTCGATTCTTGCTGGCATAATAGTTGAGCAATTTCGAGGTCTTTCGTTTATAAGAAGAGCGAGTGAATCGTCAGACAACAATTTTTGCGCGAAACCTGCGACTATGAAACTGTTAACACTCGATGATACATGAAGTGTCATCACTTTACAGTTACTCAAACTCGGTACGTGGCAAAGTCATAATTAATCCTCGAACAGCGGATGCATCTGTCATTATGACCCAACTGTTGTATCATATTGCTTGTTCGATGATGAACGAAAATTTAATCGATCTATCGAGTACCTGTATATACATAAATAGATTTTGTTTTAAAGAATTATACAGGATGTCTCAGATTTGAATGGGTAAATTTTGTCAGTGTATTCTCTAGCAGCGTTTTTTAACATTCTTAAGGACACCTTTTGCCAGTGTAATGAAGCTCGTGGACCTTTCTATGAAACGTTTCTCGAATTGTCGAAAATTCTGACTTGCTCAGATAGAACCTAACAGCTTAGAAGGGACATCAGAATCCTCAGACAGGAAAGGATCGTGGATCCAAGTTCAATTTTAACGTCATCGAGATAAAAATATTCGTTAAAAGAATTCTGTAGTACTTCGAGGTGATTGAAAAATTCGTTTTTTAAAAGGACATTAGTTAGAGCCTTAGCATGTACTTCTATCAACATTTGAAAGTTTCCAAAGACGTCAAGCTTATAATTTCTCTGTACAAAACATAGTGGTAATTTCAGGATAGTAAATCGAAAGACTTATTTCAGTTTAATAGCTATCATAATGTCAAGGTATCCGAAAGATAAAGTTAACGTATAACGAAACTATATATTTAAAATTTCTATGCGCAAGTTCAGGGATCGACAGATATCTATCTATGCCCCATCTAAGGTCCGCGGACCACAGCTCAAGAACTACTGTTCTATAGAACTGAACAAGATAAGAATGTTATATAAACACAGATCGTTAAAGCTTTATTAAACAATTATGAAAAAAATACGAAATACGATGGGAACGGTATTGTATGTATACTGCGATACAATATATGTATAATAAAATATACAGTTAGTCTGTTTACAAGAGCTGTGTTTATTATCTGAGGCTATCGAACCATTAGCAGGTAATTAAAATATACATGTATGCATACATCACTTACTGTGATCAAAGTTACGAAAATTTTATTCACGTCCAACGAATACAGATTTTAGATTATTTCGTAAACTAACTTCTATTTATATTTCATTAATAAATTCATTCTTAAATTAGAATCTATCAATGAATTCTTTAAACCAATATTCGGATGAACAAAGTCGTGAACAAAAGCTAGTTTATGAACGAATCTAACATTTTTATTCGTTATTCGAGAATAAAATTTACCCAACTCTGGCTATGTGAAAATTTCAATTGTCATGGTTAAGCTCATACTTTAGTTAAAGTTTAGCCTTTAAGATTGCCCAATCTTAAAACAAACTTGACTTTTATCTGTAGGTGACTTTACAAGAAAAAGTAAATTAAACAAGAATAAATTCGTGTAATGAATTAATACTTAAACTTAATATTCGATCAAATGAAACGAAATAAAAATAAAATTCGTAGGTCGTAATAAATACGATCTTTGATCGTTATTTTTAATTATTTTTGGCAGTACTGAAAGTATGTTTTGAAAACCTCAGATAGTAAACATAGCTCACATAAATGGACTAATCGTAAATATTGCTGATCTGTGTCTATATTGTATAACAGCAATTGTAAATCCGATACTGTTCTCTTCCTATTCCATACTTTCCTCATAACTGTTTAATAAAGTTTTAAACGATCTATACTTATACAGAGAACGACGAACTAAAAAATATGTGATTCCATTTAAAAACACAAACTTGACACATACAAATATATTGATTACACCGACTAATAACCGCCCCTAAACCATTCATGTTTTATCAAAGGTCTTTTTCAATGTAACCAGCAGTTTCGAAAATATTTCGTATATTATAATGTATACAAGTGAAAATATTTCAATGATCTTTTTCAATGTAACAGGTCTTTTTCAATGTAACAAGCAGTTTCGAAAATATTTCGTATATTAATAATGTATACAAGTGAAAATATTTCAATGGTCTTTTTCAATGTAACAGGTCTTTTTCAATGTAACCAGCAGTTTCGAAAATATTTCGTATATTAATAATATATACAGGTGAAAATGTACATAAAATTTGATACGCAATTGAGGAGTATTTGTAGGAAACAATGTAAGTACCAATGCGTTATTTAAGATATAATAAATTAAATTTCTGCAATAAGTTCCTAATAGAGAGAGATAAAATTATATATACTTTCGACTTTTATATTTTCTATATTTCGATATTCTTAAGTAATTTACGAACATACAGGTTGGCACTTACAACATTTGCAGATTTAAATGAATGGCACCTTCGGTTCTTCCTACAACTAAGATATGGCACATACAGACTTTCCTCCAAATATAAATCATTTTTTCACAAACTTATATATTATTAATCTAAGAAATAAAAATTTTTGTAATTTATTTAGGTTATTGGAGTCTCAGTGTTATAAAATATAAATAAAATATAAATAATATAATTAAATATTGTCTACAAAGATTCTTCGATTCAAATCTGCGTTACATGGAATGTTAATTACTGGTCAAAATGACCCTACACTCGTCTATCGCTTCCATTTCGAACATCCGTCTGTCGAGGGTTAAAATATGCTCGAGTCACGGAAATAACGCCTCGTAACTGTCAAATTTGTCTTCTTTTTTGCGTCCACGAGCTTCGCTATCCAATAAGAAGAGAATCGTACGCGAGGGAGGGGGAAAATACGATATCAGATACTCACTGCAGAGCGTCAGTGATTATGCGGAAGGATCGTTGCCGCGGAATGCAACCGCATCGCTATCCGTGAGTCTGTGTACGCGCGCGATATCCTGATCGATCGAATCCTCGCAGCCTGGCGACGAAGCGATTTCTATGTTTTTGCTTCCGTCTCTGGCATCGTTGGCCTCCTCCTTCCGTTCAGACTGTCCCCTCAACGATCAATCGAAGCGCCTCGAGATCGATTCCCGCGTTCCGCCGGCGACTTTGCATTCGATTCTCACTGAATATTCTGGCTACCTGTCACTGGTTCTTATCGAATCCGCACTGGACCGACGAAATCCACGGTCAATCGAATTAAGAATAACAATCCGCGAGCGGAGATACTCTAGATCGCATCGTCGATCATTTCTCCAAAATTTACACAACGTTCTCAGTCTCTTTCTATCTCTATTCCGTCGATTCGAAACTTTCACTGTTTAGGGAGCGCGTAGAATTTCACTGGGCCTCGTTTCCCGTTACAATATGGGCACCGCGGTGCTCCGATTAATCGCGATACAGAATCATTGGATCGACGACGGGTCGTGAACATTCGCGAACGATCGACAAAAATTAGTTTCGATGCGGTTTAATTGATGGTCCACGAAGGGAAGAAGCGCGTACGAACGGCGCCGGCTACGATCGAGCGTGCAATATTACCGCGATGAAGTCCGGACCGGGACTGACTGGCCATAGGATTCATTTGGGTCAGCGGCACAACGTAGTATAGCGAAACCAGGGATCCGACTATACTCTCCGTTCCACAGCGAAGTGAAGGTGCTACCGCAAGACGAGGTATAGCACTGATTCTTAACCACTGTGCTGTGGCGCACCACCATGGCGCGAAGCCAGCGGCATTGTGCCGCGAACGTTTGACGAAGGAATCTACAATACGCGACACACGATTAAACGCGATACTACATATTTTGTCGATATTACCATGAATACAACCTGAAATTTATATTATATTTTTCTACGATAACAGGCCCTATTTAATGAAACTACATGTATTTTGTTTTGGGCAATTACTTACAGTTAAGGACAAAAGTAAGTGGACAGATGAGATGAAAATGAATACCAATGAAATTTAATTACTATAGTATCGTACTTACAGATTTAAGCTTTATTTAACATTTATCATTATAGTATATAGATTATTTAAATAACAATTTAAAATAAATATTAACAATCGGTGTACAACAAAATATTAACCAATTTCAGAGAGACAGAAGTAATTGGACGCTCAATTGATACACTGTGGAGCATAACTATAGCACCACTATAATTTTCAAGAGTTTTGTAGTTGTAACTAATGATTTCTAAATGTTAATAATACCACGTGAAAAGCACTAGTAAAAAATTATAATTAATGGAAAAAATACAAAAATAACATTTATTTAACATGAAGTATAATAATAAATGAAATATTGCAATGGTGCATAACTATAGCACCAATGTATATGGAACGTAATAATAAGGTTAAATGGCTATAAAGTGTTAAATTTCTAATTCAGTTTATTAAAGTGAGCAGTTTCAATAATGAGTGGGACCTCCTTTTTTATGTATTAATTCAAAAATACGATTGTTCATACTTGTAATGAGTTTTTTCAAAGTTTCTTCACTAATTTGATTCCACGCTTCAATAACTGCTGTTTTTAGCTCCGAAATGTTCGAAAATTGTCGATTATTTCCATAAATATGCAGTACCATGATACCCCATAGGTTTTCAATTGGATTTTGGTCTAGGGAGCATGCAGACCATTTCAATACATTGACATCAAACGTTTCAAACCATGCTGTGGTTTGTCGGCTTTTATGGATTGGAGCATTATCTTGTTGATAAGTCCATGAAATGTGATTGTTTGCATGAATAAAAGGCAATAAATGATTTTCGTGTAGTTGGAAAAGCTAATCTGAGCTTGCCACAGGAGCAGAATGCACCCCACACGATAAGTGTCCCTCCACCGAAATTACGTTTCGAAAAGTATTTTTGTTCTTTACGAAGGTCCCTCCAATATGAATTAAATCCATCTGGACCGTCCAAATTGAATGTTTTTTCGTCAGAGAAAATAACCTAAGTTGAGTAAAGAATATTGAACATGAAGCTAAAATCTCGATTTATGAATGTCTAAACTTAACTTACATTATTCCAATTGCTGCTTATGTTTTCTCATGCGTATTCAAGCCTGATTATTTCGTGACGTTTCAGAAGTGTAGGTGCAGACATCATTTTTTGTCTTATAATGTTTGAATTATGTTTAAGGACACGTTGGACAGTCCAACGAGAAACGCCGAGATCACATTCCTTCACAATTTGTTTACAGTTTTTTAACGAATTGCTCGCAACTTTAGCAATTTGCCTTTCAGTACGAGGGGATAACTTCTTCTTAGGTCCCCCTTTCTTATTTTTCCCATACATAGTAGGATCGCGTAAAAAATTCAGTACAACTTTATGAGATCGCCCGAGTTTACGTGCGATTTCACGTATCCCCATTTTTTGCTCTCTGTACGCTGAAATTGCACCTTGCTCTTGTTCATTAAGGTAGCTGCCACGTGGCATTGTATTAATTAACTAACAATTCCCAAGTTTAATAAAAAAATTCCAACAGAAACCCTTGAAGTGCGTTAAAAATGAACTGGTTCTATTGTTTTGCACCGATCGTCAAACGTTTATCGATTAAATCTAAAATATAAGTAGACAACTTCAATGAATTTCACCTAAAATCCATTATTTACAATGCTTTTTCATACCATATAATTGGTTGTTTCAAATTATTTTCCTACAGATCGGAAATTTTAAAAATGTTAGTGGTGCTATAGTTATGCTCCGCAGTGTATAATATGTACAAACATTATGCGAAGGTAGTGTTTACACACAGCGGCATTGAGCAAATTTTTCAGTACTGATTCAGGCTTCAAAAACAGCAGAAATGTCATATCAAAACCGTAATTTAGTTCTTTCGGTCTGTCATAATAAGTTAAGTTACCGTGTTATGGTCCAGAAGTATAAAATATCAAAGAGTGCGGTGGAAAAAATATGAAAAAAATATTTAGTACATAATACTGTAGAGAATTTAAGACGTTCTGGATGAAAACGTTAAATTTCACTGATATTCTTTTTCATCATTTGCCCACTTACTTTTGTCCCTAACTGTACTTCGTATAGACATATTCATGTTTTATTGAGTGATCAGTTAATTTATTCATAAATTAGAATTAAAACAATATTCAGATGAACAAAGTCGTGGGCAAAAGCTAGTTTATGAACGAATCTAACATTTTAATTCGTTATTCGGAAGTAAAATTTACCCAGCTCTATCTGTGAGAAAGTATCAATTGTCATGGCTAAGCTCATACCTTAGCTAAAGTTTAGCCTTTAAACCCTTGACGTACGATTTAATTTCGAATAATTTTTCAAACGTATATTACTTACTTTTGTTTAAAGGACCCCGCACAGATCTTATGGAAAATGACCCCCGGTTAAATTAGCTGAACTTAGCGCCTTATTCTAGACTCCCACGTTTGAGTATATTTGAGTGTAAGAAGTAAGTACTATTGTACACTGTCCATTTATTTGACCTCTTAAAACTCAGTAGTTATACTGTGGGCCCTTAAATATTACCCCTTGACACTACTGACTCTCATTCAGGAGTCAAAATAAAAAAACGCCAAAAAGGTAAAAAATGGTTCTCTTTTTTATTTGTACAAACATGAAGCACCGTCGACATTAGCATTACCCAGTGTGCACCACGAAGAGGTTATTCGATCGGATTTTGCACACCATGTGGCCATTTTTATAGTTCTCTGTATTCGGCCATAAGAATTTCAACATTCATATTGTCTTGATGCCCTCTATTAGCATCTCTGGTCGTATTTAGAAGATTGCCATCCGAATATTTGGCATGCCTTTGATGACGAGCAAATCCTAAAAACCTTAAAACACTTGCAATACGTGCGCATGTAACCAATATTTTGGCACCAAATTGACAGGCACAGTAGTAACCATTTATTACTTCCTCTTCTAGTTCCAGTTCATTTTTGGGAATGTGAGAAATAAGAATTTGGTGTTTGGTACAATTCCGAAATTGTGAATAAACTTTTAGTCTTCTAAAGCTGTTATCTACCAACGAAGTGTCAATCTGTAATTCATATCTTATTGCAGCAGAGGGTCAGAGGATCAAGGGGCAATATTTAAGGGCCCACAGTAATACTATTGAGTTTTAAGGGGTCAAATAAATGGGCAGTGTACAATAGTGTTTTCTACACTCAAATATGCTCAAACGTGATAGTCTAGAATAAGGCGCACTATTATAGACTTTTCATCCCCCCTATCTCAGAAACTATTCAATTTACGAGCTTAGACCCATTGGAACTTTTCATTAAGACATAATGAACTACATCATATCAACAGTTCAGCTAATTTAACTGGGAGCCATTTTCCATAAAATCTGTGCGGGGTCCTTTAGACACCACCCCCTTGTTGATTTTTCTTAAAAATTCTTTTTTCATTTTGAGTCATTGTTCAACGCCCTACAGAAAAGTTGTCTAATACTTTTTTGTAGGTACCTATGAGTTCTACTTCAGGAAAAAGTTTCATTGAAATATATTCACTATTGTAGAAGTTATGGATGTTTGAAGATTATGCCATTTTTATAGGATTTTCCCCACTTCAGGGTGTTAAGGAACAACTTTTCGAATATTCTTGGAATTTCTACATATTCTTCACCAAAATACGCGTTGTTTGCAGTTTGAAACATTAAAATCCTCCAATCTGTTCAGAAGTTAAGATATTTTAAACATTTTCATGAAATTTCGAGGAAGCATTTCTGGCCAGAAATTATATTTTCGGTAAAGAATTTTTTTCTCGGAAGTGCGTAGGATTTCGAGGGTATGTGTATTCACCAAAAATGATTGTAATTAACCCCCACAACCGAAAATAATTTTTCCAGAATGATTTGAAATATTTGAATTTAATTGTTAATAACTATTTTACAAAGCCTCCATCAAGAAATTGGTATTCTTGATTTTCATCTTATTTTGGCCTCTTGAAAACCCCATTCAAATTTTTCCCAGGGTTGGTCGAACACCCTGTATAAGTTACTGATTCACTTTCTTTGCTTTAAACAGACCATACTATCTTTTAATGAATTTCGTTGAGATGTTAATATTAGCCGAGCAAAACTAAATAAACATTCCACACGTGCAGAGAATGGTATTCCGGTATTATATTTCAGAAATAGATTCTTAATTATAGGGTATTTTTTAAGACTTTGAAATGATGTATCATTATCATTGAGATACTGAAGCAGTTCTATTTCGATCGAGTGCATACTATACTTGTAAAACTAGATGTAGATGAAACATTTCAAAAATTAAAAAATTCTCGTTTATTATTAATAACATAAGGATATTTCCATTTCCTGTACATTGCATTTTTATTAATTTTCTTTTAATAAACGGTACTTTATTGTCTTCTTTATTTTGATATAACCAACGAAAGTTTCATTTTGTATGACATATCGTTGCAATAATGTAATCAAGAGTTCTAATAACTACTGCGAGAATAGAAGCCATAAAATTTTAAAAGAAAACAATTTTAATGTTATACGATGGACTGTACATCGAATCCTTAAAAGAAGTCGTAGTTAGACAATAGATAGTGGCCGCGCCTAAATTCGAAACGACACA